GTCAAGGGCAAGGAAACGCCCACCACGCGGCGTGCTGTGCCTGCAACCGGAGCGTTGAGCTGGCTTCATAAAACCTACTTCTACGTCAAAACAGTCAAGCACGACACATGCAGTTGGACACTAACCTTCACACTGCTGTGCTCGGCCTGCTTTGGCAGTTCGGCTGCTGTGCATAGCGAGGCCAAGAGCCGACACTGCAACTGCAGTTCCGGCCATGCCCCATGCGGAAGGTGCCGAGGACGAGGAAGGGGTGGCGCCAGCAGCAGATGCTCGGAGAGACACGGAGACGGTGTCCTTGAGCATGGCGCAAAGATCCGAATTGAAATGCCACACCGAGCTGCAGCCTACAGTTTCCCTACTCTTTGCCTCTGGAAACGATTTAAGAAAGATTTCAACACTGACTATCAAGTCAAGGCCTTGGCGCAGCAGACCATGTAAAATAGATCAAAGCAATCTGTTTGTTCGGTCCTGCTGAGCCTTGGGTGCCACAAATGCCATGCAGCTGCCTGCGGAAAGCGCCAAGGCCGTAGCCGATACCTCAAAAGGTCCAGACATCATGTTCATGTCTGGCTGAGTTGGAATTCATCAGAAATGACAAATTAGAAAACCAAGGTTGGCATCACTCATGAGAAGTTCGACCTCTCCATCAGACCTCATGTGATAAGAACAGTGGCATCAGACCTGAGTCACGGACCATGCGGCCAGCCATGCTAGAGATGGATCAAGGAGAGAGGATGCAGGCAATTCTTCTATGAGCTGCTGGCAGCTGCGGGGTCCCTCACTGACCGAGAGTACATGCACCACGGGGACCTATCAAGTTGGAGCAAGCATTGACGATGTTGTTCAAATCCCAAAGTTAGGAGCTTGTTCATAGTTGTTAAAGAAATATCATCATTAAATCATTAAGTATCCACAAATTCCCGCACGCCAACCCTTCCGAAGCAGCCAATCTCCTGCCCACCAATGCGCTGCAGTTTGCGCCTGCGGTGATGTTTCGTGATGCAGTGGAGCAAGTGCATGTCTGTGGGAGACTGATGAACATAATGAATCAACCTCTATTTGCAAACCTCACCTCATCTGCAGCCTGAAACCACAGGTTTCTGAGCAGATCTTAAGCACTTGCCGCCTGCATCTCAACACGGGCACGTTGTGCTGGTGGCCCTGCAAGGCTTTTGAATGCCTTGGACCATAAGAGTTGTTTCGCGCGGGTGTGTGTCCGTGTGTGTGTGTGTGTCACACTCTGTTTCGAAGAGTTTTCCACCAGCAGGGGCGTCAGGCTCGACACACCTACCTGACGCAACGAAGCTATGGTGTGTCGAGGGAAGTGAAAGCTGATCACTCTCATGTACCTGCGAAAACCACATTGACTCCACTGGTTTCCCTTGACCGCTGTTCGTTGTTTCCATGGTTGTTTCTCACGATATCTCCCCCAAACTTTTTCTGCCGCGTTTTGCAGCTTGCCACCGCAGTTTTCCGCAGATGAGAGAAACACCTTTTTCAAACACCTTCAAGTTCCTGGACGATTCACCTTGCCGTTGGGCCATTCCTTGCTTCGGGTAATTGATGTAACTGCAAACCCATTGTCTAAGTGTGTGCCGCTGCGCCGTCCCACTTGGGCGCACAGTGTGATCCCCCGCAAGGGGGCGCTGCTTTCATTCCGGATTACCGTGTAACTGATTCAGCTGTTTTTCTGCACGCGTTGGATGCTCTTGACAGATTCTCGTCTCACTACTGTATTCCCGAAACTCCAACCGCCGGGTCTACGGAAATTCGAATCCGCCGGGCCTACGGAGAATTAACACCCTCTAATTAGGGTAACAGAGGGAAATGGTACTCGACACACTTGTGCGTCGGTGCCTTTCCCTCTATTGTCCCTTTTCTAGTCTACTCTACCCGGGCGGATTAAGACTAAAGTCCCGCTCCCTAACTATTGCACCTAATTCACTTCGGCTAAGTAATCAGTAACTCTAGAGGGCTAGGTATTCATACACACACACACGGACACATACATGTAAATACACCTCCCTCCCTGCCCCCCCCACTTTCTTTCTTGCGCTTTTTGCGTTTCTTGGGCTTTGTGTCAGGCCCAGGCTTTTTAGGTTGTTCTTGAGGCTCTCCCTACCCCAGTCAAGGGCTAAGTATTCACTTTTTGCTACTCCTATCTTTCTCTCTTGCCCTTTCAGCGCTGCTCTTTCTCGTTTTCTTTCTCTTGTTTCTAAGGCTTTTTAGGTGCCTATTCAGGTCTTCCGCGAGAGCGCCGCAAAGCGGCCGAGTGTGTGTGTCACACTCTGTTTCTAAGAGTTTACCACCAGCAGGGGCGTCAGGCTCGACACACCTACCTGACGCAACGAAGCTATGGTGTGTCGAGGGAAGTGAGAGCTGATCACTCTCATGTACCTGCAAAAAACACATTGACTCCACTGGTTTCCCTTGGCCGCTGTTCGTTGTTTCCTAGCTGTTTCTCACGATACCTCCCCCAAACTTTTTCTGCCGTGTTTTGCAGCTTGCCACCGCAGTTTTCCGCAGATGAGAGAAACACCTTTTTCAGTCACCTTCAAGTTCCTGGACGATTCACCTTGCCGTTGAGCCATTCCTTTCCTCGGGGAATTGATGTAACTGCAAACCCATTGTCTAAGTGTGTCCCCCTCCGTATCTAGGAGTTTGATGTTTTCCACCGTTTCGAAAGGGCCGGAGCCAGGTGGGGGTCTCCGGCCAACGAAGACACCCCTCACCTGGGTGCAAACGTACCTGCGATCAACTGTTGTCCAAGCTGTTCTACTCTCTCTTTTGCTTTCATGGTAGTTTTCATGATACGTCCCCCAAACCAGGTTTCCATGCACGGCGAAAATTCGGTCTGCTAAGTAATCAGTAACTAATTTTCTGCAGTCGTGCATCAAACCTTTTTGTTCAAACACCTTCAACTCACTGGACTCACTGGACTCCGCCGCCTTTCCGTTCCACCATTCCTTTTTTTCGTGGATTTTGATTAACTGCAAACCCTGTGACTAAGTGTGTGTAAACCGCTCTAACATGCGGATGTGGAAATTTCGGAATTGAGAATTTGAGCGCAAAAGGTCCAGGCAGTTGTGAGTTGGCCCTGGACCAACGAAGACGGACTCACAACTGGTGAAGCGAGAAGGGACGCCTTCTTGTGTACCTGCCATTTAACTTACCGTAAAGGGCTAATGCATTGATCGATGGTGTCGCCGACTTTGCTTGGTTTTTCGAATTTTCAAGGACACACACTTAGGAGGTTCTGGGCTTTGCCATCATCCTAACGCTCCACACTCCAAGACTCATTCCCCAGTGTGTGTGTGTGTGCGTCTAAAACAAAAACACCTTCTGCCCTTGATTCATCATGTTGGTCGTCATCTTCAATCGCGCGGTGCAACTCAGCAACTCACTTCGGGCTGTGAGGTCTTGAGGAAGAAACTGACTTCGGTCTTGTAGAAATCACTTACATAGACCCTCCCTATGCTTGGCCAACCACCTGCGATTGGGCAGCTGTGCTTTGGCTGCCTTCACGATCTCTACAGTTTCTTCTGAAGAAACGTCTCAGAAACTTGTTCTATTGATTCCTTCAGTTCCTTCATGATCTTCCATCAGAATCATCAAAATGTCCTACTCAAGGGCGCAAGATGATGCAAAGTGCACTCTACAAGTCTTGGAGTCTTCGAACAATCTTTATGTTGGAAGTCTTATGCAGTCTCAGACCTGTCAAGTTCAACGCCTCGAGCAGGTGCTCAAAACCTTTGCTATCTCGTCCCAAACCTTGGCGGTCAAGGACGATGGATCAACCGATTGCCTCTTGTGCCACAAGAAGGAAAACTCTCTATGCCTGCAGACACAAACTGGCGCAGCGACGCTGGTGCCCAATGGCCCTTCCCTTTCAGCGGTACCTCTATGCCTACGCCTCTACTCCAAAAGGAAATGTAAAGTGATCGGAAGAACCTTTCACTGCTTCATGGAAACTATACACTGGTTGCAGCACCTGTTCTAGCTGCTACCTTGGATCTCCTTGGCACTGTCGCACTATTCTCACTGAGCCTGAGCAAACCTGCAAATAGCTTTCAAGAGGTTTGTCCTGGAGTCCCGAGTAATGGGAAGATGTGGGAAGAATGCTAACAGCTAACTCATCAATTCTCAAACAACAAGTTCAACTTCCAAAATCTTACTTCTCCAGACCATACACCACCCACAGCACCTGGCTTCCTCCAACTTGCTTTTCTCTCGGCACGAAGCTCCGTATTTCCTCCAGCGCCACCCGCGCCGCCCGCAGCGCCGCCGGCGCCGGTGCCGCGGCCGCGGCCACGGTGGTGCTGAGCGTGATGGCGTCGCACCGGAGACGCCTGGAGCGGCGGCACGGTCTTCATTTACATCAGTTGGGAGAAACCAAAGGGATGAGCTGCTCCAACCAGTGCTACTTGGGATTGCATGGCAGAGTAGCACACGGCAAACTGGCAGTGGGAAGGAAACGGAATTCTTCCATCAGTGATGGAAAACCTTTACGGCAGGTGCGCTAGGTGGCGAAAGTCATCATGATTTTATAAAACCACAACTCATGGCTGTTCATACACCTGCTGCCCTCTTCAAGCAAGGCCATGTGTCTCCCGAAAAAAGAGCCTGGAAATTTGCCTGGCCAATTGTGTTCTTTTGATTCTTTTGCACGACACTTTCTTGGATGTTTTTGTTTGGGAGCTCCTCTCGACCAGAGATCGTCGAATTTGAAGAACTTGCTCCCAACGCCGTCGCTTGGTGCATGCACCTGGGCGACGGAGTGAGCATGCCCTTGAGCAATTTGGTTCGACTTTAGGAACAAGCTAGGGCAGCAAGGGTATGTCAAGTTTCATCAAGTGTCTGTGGCCGCCCAGCCGCTGAGATCAGCTCGGTTGTGTCTTGAGTCTTGATGGACATGTTGCAAACACATGACTGCTTCAAACAACCATTGCCTCCAAAGGCACTAATTGCGCAATTGTAGGTGCCGATGTCAATTTCTGCAGTCAACTGACCCAGCAACCGAAGTGTCCTCACCCAGTGCGAGGCCTTTTCGCAAGCACCCAATGCGGCGACAAAGCCTGGGAACGTCAAGCCCTTCCTGGTCGTACAAGGTCTACTGTGCAGTGCTGCAGTGCTTTTGGGTGAGTGAAATGACTGGCAATGCGCACTCTGGCTTGATGATCAGTTGAAAAGCTTATTGTATTACGAGTGATACGGGGCAATACCCAGGCGTTCTCTACTTTCTCGTGTGGAGAGACTGTCTCTTTGAGGATGAATTGACACATCGTCACAAGGTGGATGCTGGTGTGATACAGTGTGTGTGTGTGTGCGTGACAAAAGTAAATCGGAGCACAAAGAACCTTGGATCTGATCTAAAACAAAAACACATAGTAGGAAACCAAGCATTAAGTTGTGCAAAGGATAATATATAAAGAAGTATATACAGCACAAGTAGCACATGAATGCAAGTTTGACTCACGAGAGTTTGACGGCTTCAAATTTGGACTGCTCGGCTACCTACTGCAATTACTTTGAAGGACTGCAATGCTGTACTCTTCCCCGGATATCCGCCCATGCCAACGTCAACGTGAGTCAAGCAACTGATCGCATCTGCTTCGATGTGGTTCTCCTGTGGATGCATATTGAAAAACAACCAAAGAGCTCAGAACAAATCCATACATCGCCAACAAAGGCTCTAGGTGTTTCCACTCCAAAGTCCATGTTCGAAGCTGCCACGGCCTCTTTCAGGTCACAATCATACAGGTAGAGGTCCAAAAAATGTGATCCAACCTGTACTGATGTACTGTAGTGTAATTAATGGGTCTGCCACACGTCTTGTCACCCACCCAAAGCGCCACCTCCAGTCTGTCTCGGCGTCTCACCTCCAAGCCATTCTGAAGCTCCAGCGCTTCCTCCCAAGCGACACCCTTTTCACCTCCAAGCAAATGGCCGTCGCAGGGACGGCCATTTGAACCAGGAAAGAATTGAAGCTCTCCAAAGCATGTGCCAGTCTTTTCACAGGATCTTCTTCATTCAAGACTTGGGGATTTCTTCATAAGTCCATACCATAAGCCATAAGTCCAAAAAAAGGGTAGATCAAGCAACAACCCATTCAAGTCGAATGCCTGCCAGCCAGTCCCGTTCCGCCGGCCCTAGGCCCTAACTGATGGCCCCCACATGCGCTGATGGCCGCATTGAAGCTGACCAAACTCCGTTGTAGCTCACCAAATCCACCTCGCCACATGTCCAAGGCTCTGAGCCATTCTTGGCCTCACAGAAGCGACCGGGAATCGAACATGATCCAACTGGTCGTCCGTGTGGGGTGTTTGGAGGGGTGGAACGTTGTGGTGGAACGTTGCGGGGGAACGTCCTCTGTCTGATTCAAGAGTTCTTCGACCTCAAACACAACCGAACACCCTGCTGGGAACCCGGAGCCAGGAACGCGTCGCGTTCCACGCGCCGGGCGGAACGTTGAGACGCACCGGGCTTGCCTTTTTCACAGGCCGTGAGGGCTGCATTCTGCGAGATCACATTGGGCTGGATTGCCAGAGCCCTCATCCTTGACACTGGCAAGTTGCACTTGCAGCTTTGCGAAAGCAAGAAGAACTCTGGTAGCTGAAGATACCTTCGTGATAGAAATCTTGTAAGAATCGCGTACCGGAAGACGGCCGTCTGCCATATGCTCCATGCGACATTTCAGAAAGACTGCATCTTGTTTCGTGGATGCAGTGAGGGAGACTGTAGAAAGTGGTGCACATCTTGCCAGGAAAACATGAACAATTCGGGTGTTAGGGGCACTTCTCAGGCGCCAAACAGATCTGGGAAGTCGAATAGTGTTGGAACAAGAAGCGATTAGTAGCAACTGCATCGCTACTAGTAACAAGGGCATTACAGTAACAGGAAGCTATGTGAAGCTATTAGTAACAAGGGCATTACTAGTAGTAACGAGAAGCGACTAGTAGCCCAAAAATGCTGCGCCGAGATTCATTCCCATCAACTCCAAAGCCGAGGGCCAGAGCTTGCCCGCCGCGCTGGCGCTGATGGCGGCGCTGAAGGAGACCACGGTGGCGGTGTTCCCAGATCGAAGATGCGAGAGGAGCATGAGTGCTATTTGCCACTGTTCTCCTCTTGCATCTGCACAAAAATTGCTTGACACAGCTCAGAGCTAGATGTGACGGATTTGCTCCAGAGAACCTGAGGAATCCAATTCTCTAGCATTTACGAAGCCCTTCTCATAAATCTCCTCTGCGTGGAGAACTCCACAAGGCTTTGGGGTACCTCTGCCCTCTTGGCCCATGCAGCCATCATTAAATGACTTCACGGGCCAAGAGGGCAGAGGTACCCCCGAAGGAAATAGTTCCTCTCGCATAACGATTAGTGCACAGACCCTTTAGAATGTTGCTCATTTCTTCTTGGGTCAACTATCTTGGGCTTGTTGTGGTTCCCTGCTTTGCCCCAAAGGATTCCAGATATTCCCTGATGTGGCGATGCCATCGGAGTGATCCGTTGAGGACATAGGATGCCGTGACGGCACTAGCAATCCAAAAGAGTTGGAGGATTCTTTTCGAGCCAATGACGTTCCAAAATTCCAGGGAATGTCCCAACTCAATTAGCCATTTTTGGGATGGGGTCCATAATTATTGAGACCACGCCCATCTATTCATCATGTCATGCCCAAGAAAAATGGTATCCTTTTTCGCAGCAAGTGATTGCAGCATTGTAGGACACCACGTCTGCGAAGCTGTGGTCTATAATGAAAGACAGCAGCAATAATGCCAGTTGCCACTTGGCTCCTGCTTGCAAATGCTCTTCAAGTCGCTTCAAGTAGGGCAAACAGTGACCCTGGTTGGAACAAGAATCTTGATGACGATGACGATGAGTCAATGAAAAACAAGTAAGAAAATATGCTGTTGGTTTGATGTTATCACCACAAGTGGGGCAAACTGAAACGGCAGCTGGTCCTCCTTCACATGCCTTGATGCAGGCATTGAAACTGATGACGTCCGTTTGCCGCAAACCAAAGCCCTTCCTCAGGAAGGAACTTCAGTCAAACTGTTCTGACTTCTACCTTGCCTGGTTGGTGTCCATTATGAACACCCGCGGTCTGGGCGTGTTTCATGACCTTCCTAGTGGTTCATTCCTTGCCCTTCGATTCGTTTTACGTCTGATTGGGACGATGGGGAAGGATGCCCAAGTCCAATTCAAGATTGCCATGGATCCAAAGCAGAGACAGCGCCTGCTGCCACTCACTGGCAGTAGCCATAGCAGTAATGGCTGCATTCCGGGCGGTGGTGTCCGCGCCAATGCCCTCCTAGAGGGAAAGCGGTAGCGAAATATGTTCTTTTCCAAATGTGCTGAAGCTTGACCCTTTCACATCTCACAGTCCCAAAAAGAGTATACCGTCATAATTACCACTACCATCCACTACCCATCCTCCCTGAATCTGCACTAACCCCACTTCCTTTTTGCGTCCCACCCCACCTACTCCCCACTACTCCGGCATGCCGGTCGTTGACGCGTCGACCGCCTCGAGCTCCGTGAAGAGGCGGAGCGCCCGAGGCCACTGGG